CATGCTGCTATAGTGCTATGCTGCGAGTGTCTGTGTGTGATGTACGTGAAACGTGCACAAGGCAAAGTCGGTGCGGTTTGTGTGCATGATTTGGTGGTTGTTTTGGAGCGTGGGGCTGGCGGCTTGTGGGTTGATGTGCGTCGCTTACTCGCTTGCTTGAAAAGTGGAGGCATGCTAGCCTTGGTACAATGGAAGACAGAAAGAGAGAGAGAGAGAGAGAGTGTGTGTGTGCATGGGTAGCATGGGTGTGGGGGTGACTCGCTAGCTGAAGAGACTCTTGACCTGGTACTGTTAGTAGCCAGTGGCATGTCACCCTGTCACCGGTGCACTACTCAAGTGCTCAGGCGTTTGATGGCACAAGCCCTCTTCCACAAACAGTTCTTCCCTCCTCTTGCACCACTCATGCCTGCTCACGTCAACATTCCCTGAACACCTGTACGTGCGTGTGACGTGACTATGCGACCTGCTATTATTATTGTCCTGTCTCACAGGGGCATTCGCCGGGACGCAGGAACTTTCATGCCTGCACCCAGTACCGCAACAGGATGTTTGTGTTTGGTGAGCCGTGTGCGACAGCGCTTGCACATGCTGTTGTCATGCCAAATCATGGTGCCTTTGGAAGGGGCAAGCCTCTAACAAGCGTCTTGTTCATTTTCAGCCACTTTTGCTCGCCCTCGAATGATGCAAGAAGGATGCAGTGCTACATTCCACTAATACATTCACACACACATTCACACAACTGTAGGTGGCTTGCATGTGATTAGTGACACCGACTCAGGCCAGGTACGTCACAATGCCACAACGACGTTGTGCCTTGCCGTGATGCTGCTGCACAACTGTTTCGTTCATCGAGTGTAACAGTGCACCTCACCAACTCTGTTTGGGGGTGTCTCGTCTCACACTCTCGCGTTCTCACACTCTCGCGTTCTGTCTCAGATCAAATATCGCGTGACAAACGACCTTTGGATGTACTTTCCAGGTGAACCATTGAGGGCCTGAATGTCTGACCATATGCTTGAGTTCACCAGTGCGCACACGCACATGATGATTACGCTTTCTTTGAGTGCACATGCAAGCAATCCTTTGATTGCTTTGCGTGCCGTGGCCGTCCAATTCATACTTACAGGACATGTTGTTTGCTGTTTGCGCGTGTGTGCGCGTGCGCGCGCGTGTGTGCGTGTGTGTGCGTGTGCGTGCGTGTGCGTGCGTGTGCGTGCGTGTGCGTGTTGTTTGCTTGCTTCCATGTTGCTTGTGCGTGTGTGTGTGTGCAGACTTTAAGCGCTGGCGAAACATCACGCAGGGCGGGCCAACCTGGCCCTATCCGCGCTTCTAGTACGTGCATACGCTGCTCGCTCCTCACTCTCACTCCCCTGCACGCACCATGCTGAGGACGCTTTGAGGAGAATGCAGTACATCCACTCACCGTCATTGCAAACAACCTTCATTACAAACCACCTTCCCCACGTACGGCACTCTGCAGCCACACAGCAAACAGCATCAACGTGGGCGGGAAGCAGAACATGGTCATATTTGGAGGCATCGACAACTCCCACGTCTGGACTTACAACTACGAAAGCGAAGAGTTCAACGTCAGTGCTTACACCTGCTCATACATACTCGTGCGCCACGACAATCAATTCACGGATTGGCCCTTTGGCCAGTGTCACCACCAACACCATACATGTCTTTATGCCAGCGTCCTATCACAGCAGCAGCCATTCCTATCATATTGGCCCTTCCTCACAGCCATCACGTCCATCAAACACACCACCACCACCACCATTACCAGCTGTTCTCGCCCGGCGCCATCTCGCCCACGCCGCGCATGCTGCACTCGTCCACGTCCTACAACGACACGCTGTACATCTACGGCGGCTGTGCTGTGCCGACGGGAGAAGTCCCCGGCCTCGACCTCTGCGAAGAAGGTGCCGAGGGAGGCTGCACGCTCCTGCCGTGATGGCGATGGCGTTGTGTGGTGGTGGTGGTGGTGGTGCTGGTGCTGGTGGTGGTGATTCTTATGGTAGTGGCGGTGGCGCGTGCTTGCGTGCAATTGCAAGATGCTGTAATAACAGCCACGTGTAATTGCGTACGTGTATGTACATATTCACACACACACACACACACACACACACACACACCGACACATCAGGGTCGCTCGGAGACGTGTGGCGTTGGACAGCGGGCAATGGATGGGAGGAGCTGCTGATTGCACACCCGCGCATCCACCGCTTCTCGGCCGCCATGTTCTTCTACCGCGGCAGTCTGCACATGCTCGGCGGCTTCCCGCACGTGTCTGCGTTTGACCACGACACTGATGCGGACGTCAACCATTACCGCCTGCCGCTCCCAACGGACTGGGCGCTTGCAGATACACCGCCGCCCACCTGGCAGGCTGCCATCACCCCAGAGACAGCGAGGGTGCGCTAGGAGTTGCCGTTCGTGCGTGCGTGTGTGTTTTGTGGGATGTGTGTGTGTGTGTGTGCGTGTGTGTGCGATGCAGGCTGTGTGAACTCTTCGTGCGCGCTGTGCGGGGGTTCTCATTCCAAAACGTGCTCGTTTCTTGTTGGTTGGCTGCTGCAACATCACCGCTGGTACATCATTGCTGCGATGTCGTCGTCGTCGATGCAGCCGTTTGAGGATGTGTTTGATCCAGATTTGGATGCGTTGAGCGTCGATCCATTTCTTCTCTTCAACGACACCATCCGCAGCCTCAGCTTCAACGTCCTCCCACCCAGGGTGCGCCGCTGCTGCTGTTGGTGGTGGTGGTGGTGGTGTTGTTGTTGTTGTTGTTGTTGTGGCGTGTTGCCCGGTCTGTGCCTTAGCTGTGTGTTCGTCAACATGAAGCCGTCTTCCCTCACCGCCACTTGCCCACCTACCACCACCTCTTCTCCTGTGCGCGACACGACCACAGCTTGGCTTTGCCAGCATTACGCAGGTGTCCGATGACACATTTCTTCTCATTGCTGGCCGCTCGTCGGCGCTCACCGCCCCGTCAAACAAGGTGTGGATCGTGTGGATTATGTGTGCACGCAGGGGCAGATGTTGCCCTCATACTGCATTGTTGATGTTGTGGCTTGCGTGGGGTCTTTGATCGACGTCTTGCCTGCGAGCAAGAGCACACTTCAACTGGTTATACACACTTACACGCTTGCCCGTGCGTGTGCGTGTGCGTGTGCATGTGTGTGTGTGTGTGTGTGTGGTGTGTGCATGTGTGTGTGCGTGTGGGTGTGTGTGTGTGTGCTTGAAGGTGTTTCGCTTCAACGGCCAGAACATGACGTGGGACGTTCTTGACGAGAACCGCTTCGACACCAATATCGCGCGGCGGTGCGTCAACCATCTCTCCCACACGGAGCACACCACAGAACCGGGATTGGCGCCACACGTGTTGATGGACCTGCCACTTTCACACCCTCTCACACTTCACCTTCACACCTCTCTCCACGAACCATCAAACGCCACCACCACCACCACCACCACCACCATTGGCGTCATCACCATCACCGTGACGGTCTACAGGTCGGGCCACTGCAGCGTGGCGACAACAGCGGGCTCTGTGCTGACGTTTGCAGGCGCGGCCCCGCTGTCCTTCTTCTCGGACGTGGCCTCCTTTGAGGCGGAATCTCAGTCCTGGGCTGAGCCTCTCATTAACACCCAGTCAGTTGCAGTGTCGTTGCCATCGTGGCCGTGGTGATGGTGGTGTGGTGGTGATGGTGGTACGTGGTACGTGTGTGTCTTTCCGGTTGCGTGAGTACATGTGTGGGATTATGATTCTGTGCAAGTGTGTGTGTGTGTGTGTGATTATACATCTGTGAGTGGCGGGGTTGTGTTCGAAACACGTTGGATGACGTCCAAACTCATCAACCAGCGACAATCTGCCTACAATCACCCATCAGTCCCCTGACGGGCATTTTCCCCGCGGGCGTGACGTACAAGAACTACTACGTCCTCCATGGCGGCCTCTCGTTCGCACGCTCAGAGGTGATGATGATGATGATGATGATGATGATGATGATGATGATGATGATGATGATGATGATGATGATGATGATGATGATGATGATGATGATGATGATGATGATGATGATGATGATGATGATGATGATGATGGTGGTGGTGGTGGTGGTGGTGGTGGTGGTGGTGGTGGTGGTGGTTATGGTGGTGGAGTTGATGGTGTGAGGCTGTTCGGCATGGCTTTGTTTTGATCATGGCCGCTCTCACACATCAACGTCACGACACAGCTCGAATGCATCTGGTGTTGCCTGCTTCCTCCTCAACGACCTCACACACAACAACAACTCACAAAGCACACGCACACACCTCAATTCACTCACCCACAATGCGTACAGGCTTCCTCGCACGTGTTTCTGCTTGACCTCAGCACGCGCCGGTGGGTGAACGTGTGGCTCCACAACCAGCCGCCCGTCCGCCGCTACGGCCACTCTGTCAACGTCGTTGGCAACAATCTCTACTATTTTGGTGGCGCCACCGCGCTCTCAAGTGGGTTGCACTGCACTCGTTTGTGTGTGCTTGTGTGTGTGTGCTTGCGTGAGTGTGTGTGTGTGTGTGCGTGTGTGCTGAATGTGTGCACGTGTTTGACTCGATTGGCGAGGCTCTTTCCCATGGCTTGGTTTAATCGTTACCATCGCACCCTTCAAACACACACACACACACACACACACACACACACACACACACACACACACACACACACACGCGCTGATACGCGCAACAGAGGCAAGCGTAAGGGGTAACAGAAACCAGGGACGGAAGGTACGCATTTCTCATTTCTACTAGATGAATGAAAATTCTAGCACGCGGCGAGGACTGACACAGAGCAGGAAGAGTATTGGCTCGATGATCTTGATGCTTGTCACGTTTTGCTTGATAAGAGACGACCGGGACATATTACTGATTATGAGCAGTACACGTATCATCACGTGTAAAGCATATGCCTGCGAGATAACTAGTAGTGCAAAGAAGCTCGAGAGGGATTGAATGTG